ACAGAGTATTAAAAGAAAAGAAATATCAACATGGAGAAGACTGAAAGGAGACTGTCCTCCCCCATGAATATGAGTCAGACATGAACTAGCTAGCATATGCTAATAACAGTTTTATTTTATAACTTTATGCAGTACAATTTTCTTCAGTCCTAATGGCAGATTCTTAAAGGAATCCAGAAGTCAGTGCTGTTACTCTGGATTTACACATGTATATGTAACAGGAGAATCTGGCCACTATTTATTCAATGCACAAAGAAAAGTATTAAAATACAAAGAAACAACACATCCAGAATCCTAATAAAAAGTAAAAATCAAAGTTTACTTTAATGTAGAACTATAGCAAAAAAGGTTGAAGAAGCCAAAAAAATACACATTGCAAATGTTGTATTACTCCAGCAAAACACAGAGGGAAATGCACTAACTTTAAAAGTTCTTTTGGATAAGATTTGTTTATGTGCCCCTCAAGTCAACAGGGCACTGCTGTAGTTCATATTGTGAGTTCTGTAACAAAGACACCTCTCTTTCATTACATTTACCATGAAATCAAAGGTCTACTGAGGTCAACATAAATTTTGTTACTGATTTCGATGGGGTCAGGAATTCACCTTGTATAACTTTTGTTGGCACTTTACTTTGAGAAAAAATATTTAAACCCTAATCCTTGAATCCATACAATGCAAGCTTTGCCTGCCTGAGGACTGAAAAATAGAATCTATGCACTGGATGTTTGGGTGTGCTTTATACCTCACTGTACATACTGGGGCCTATCCATTGACTTCACATGGGACCGGAGGCAGCCCAAGACACAAAACTATCAGACAAATCACCTTAAAGGACTTATTCCTATAATAAAACTGAATCAATGGTTTGTTGAAATTGCAAGGCACAGAGATTTAATAGTGGGAGAAATATATAACAGTTGGAACATACCTTTTGAATCCTGCCACACATCTCCTCATTCCTTGGAGGGAGCTGCTGGAAGGGAGTCACTCTTCTCCACTGAACTTGGGACTTTAATGAGTATTGCTTTGGTTTGTTTCAAGGGAAGCTATTGACAAGCAAAACAAAGTGCCTCACAAGACACTAGAGAGAGAGATAAAATTGGGCTGACATAAAAACAAAATATATGAATTTTTAAAAAAAGGAAAGAAAAATAGAGGTGAGGTATTTTTCCTTTTCATTTCTTCCATGATTCACTTCCTCTAGCCATTTTTTCTTTGCAGAGTCTGTGACTTGCCATTTATATTCCATCCCTGTGCTTGGAAATTGTTCTCCGGGAGGTGAAAGGTGAAGGGGAAAAAAATCAGAATGAAGTGAAGACAAGATGAAGAGGTGCAGGGAGGAGTACATCTAATGAGTATAATGGTGTCCAAAGGAAGGATGGAAACATGTTCCCTAACGGCATGGTCTTCGTTGGAACTGCTTGTGTTCTCAAGCTGTTAAAAGTGGAAGTAGCAGGAGTACAAGAGGGGAGTCACAAACTCCACATGCTACAGTAAGTGCAAATTCTCACATTGCAGAAGCCATCACACCAAGGATTTCCTTGCCATCTGATCCAATCTGCCCACAGTGGTTTCTCTAAAAACAGTACTATAATCAAGTAGATGTCCATTGCTTTTTGTTTTTTTGATTTTTTACTTAAAAAGTCTTTTTCCTAATAATATATAGAATATATAAATAAAAATAATTAAAAAAAAGCTATTTGGGTTCTGCTCTCCAACCCATCTGCATGTTTGTGGTTCACCAATATATATTATAAGATGAGAAAATCAACTCTGCTCATTATTTAAAAAAAAAAAACTGAAAACATAGTAAATCCACGTTTCAGGTTTCCAGAAAGAAAAAGACAAGGGGCAGGGAGGGAGTGGGGAACAAATTAAAATGAAAAAATAAAAAGATAATCAAAACCTTCTGTTTCTTCAAAGTAGTTGTCTATAGTTTTATACGTTTGTGCTTTCAGTGTGCACACCCAGAGGGGGGAAAAAAAGTAGCAATAATAATCAGAGTAGTAGAAAGGACAGCAAATTGCTCAGAGTTTGTATGTTGGTTTGGTTAATTTAGCAGCTGCCCTTTTTATCTGCTGAGGGAGAGCTGCTGCCACGGCCACCTCCGCGGCTTGAGAGAGGCTCTTCTGCATCGTCCTCGTCAAAGCCGTGAAAGGTCGAGGTGTCGCTTTCTGACGTGGAACCGAACAAGTCCTCCGTAGTGCGTACTGGCGCTGCTTCCTCCTTCCTGCTTTCTCTTCCCAAATGAGCTGACATGTATGATGAATATATCAGCACATGCGTTAAGCAACAGGCATCATAATTATTTTTTATCACTATTATTAAACAACTCAAACTATCAATCTTGTAGGTACGTGCATGTGTGCACCTTAACAACAACATAGCACAGTAGAATAGCAGTAAGAAAGAAGTAAAAAGGATTGGTTTCTCTTTTAAAGAAAAAAGAAGATCTACAATAATAACACAAATGCCCGTGGCTATGGCAGCGAAAGGGTTAATGATAGTTTCCTCTCTTCAAAATACCTTAAAAATATTTTTTCTTGATTACTCTGATCAATTTATAGAAGATTCTTAGACCATATAAATAATTAGAAGCTGTTAGCTCTAAGCACAATGATTGTCCTTCAGATTGGCATCAACTGTCATGAATTTACTGCTGCAGAATAACAACCCATTAGGTATGTCATCAGTCTGGCTGTGATTATTTTTTAAATTCTCATCCCTATCGCTTTCTGCCCCTGACCCTAACATGAAACAAAGAACAAAGTGAAAAACACTGTAAAGACTAAGTAATAATAAAATAAACATTTTGTATTTTTCAACCTGTATAGATTCTCTTAAAAAAAAGAAAACAAATCTACACAATTCAGCAGCTAAAACAGCAACGATAAAAGACCATCTCTCTTGGAGAAAACTAGAAAGTTTGAAAAAGTTTTTCAGTCCAGCTTTTCACTATGAAGCAGGAAATCCTCAGCACAGAAATCAGTCACAACAAAAAAATCTCTTAAAAGTCAAATATTGACATTCTTAAAACTGCAGTTTGTTTTTTCCCCTCTGAATCAAATCTTCTAGGTAATTTTGATGCATCTCTCAGAATCCCTCATCCAGAAAGGCAGGGAAAGGCACGTCCCTGGGAAAATGAAAGCATTGTTTTTGAAGGGGAAGGCCCGCCTATTACTCAGAAGCATTAATATGATGATGTTAAGTAACCAATGACTTGGTCCCCTTCTGCTGAAAGAAGTAACTAGATAATAAATACACTATAATGCCTAAGAAATAAAGAATCAAATCTCGTTCCTCCAAAATAAAAGAATATAATAAAATAATCGCCAATGTAAAGAACTGTTCCATAGGGATGTGATTTTTCTGACTGTATAGAGAGAAGGAGCAAATAAATGTTCATGGCCCCACCTCCGATCTAAAGAAAACTGCCTCTATTACCAAGAGAAGTAAAGATGGCAGCCACAAAAGAATCATTCATTTTATAAAGATATATGTGGTTGCATCTTGGCCTCTGTCACCACATGTCTATCACACAGTTGGAGATCACTTGTAAATGACATGGGTGGATGGGAATTAGTATACGAATAGTGTTTAATTGAATTGGTTTGAGGGATTTGTTCATGCACAGATTACAGCACATTACAGCTACATGTAGACCTAGATACTCCATTACAATAAGGAAGCCAATGGGCTAGAGTATCTGTGTCATGCTCTAAAGGTAAATATAAAATCATCACAACAAGCACCTACACAACATAAAAATTATCAATGTGCAAGACTGAGACAATTCTGAAATGAGCTAGGCTGGGAAATAACAACCAAGGCAATGGAGAAAATAAGATTCACTTTCAAATATGCCACCACAGCTAATGTGAGCTTCCGTTCTTTAATTACTATGAAGCAAACACAAAAGCATAAAAAGACTTGTGTTAGCAAATGCAGAGTACTTGTAGCAAAGCCTTTAGAAAACCAAGGTTTGCCCTTTGTCCTCTGATGACCAATCATCATCAACTCAAGATAGCTTCAAAAGTCAGAATAACTATAGGGACATTTGTCACTAAAGCCTAGCCCTGCACCCATGGAATTTGATAGGAGTTTTGCTATTAATGTCAATGTGAGCATAAGCAGGCCATTATTCAGTACCAGAAAACTCTACATTATACTGCGCCAAGTACCGAGCAAACACTTCCCAGCATAAAAAGCAGAAGCAGCAGCAATTTTGAAGGTTTCAAATTGCACGGTTTATTTTGTTTTCTGATTTATAATCAATGTGCCCCTACCCTCCACCCTAAGGAAATCACAATTAGAAATGTGGATTGAAGCTGGAATATACTGTCATTAGAGACCCCCATTCCCTCCCTTAGCTAAAAATAACAGCTCAGCTGGGACAAAAAGCCCAATAACCCAGAAATAAAGACAACTCAGGCTGGGAAAAAGACACAATTGCCTACATTTTAAAAGAGAGAGGGGAAGAAAACAGAGAAATAAAAACCTCTTTAAACAAAATTAATGATAGTCATCTTGTAAGAGGATAATTCTTGACAGCTACCCCCCATCCATACCCTGTAATTTCCTCTCTCTTTCTTTTTTGGATGAAGAAATGCATGAAATGTGTAATCAATGGAAATGCTCATCATGCAACTTTCATAAATCTTGAAAGTAATTTACATTCGTAATTATGGCATTGGAACACAGAGCCCGTCCTTTAATATTGTCATAGGATTTTCCCCCTCCATTTCAATGAGAACTAGTATGTGTACTCATCTTCACCACAGCCAGTAGATATAACGTGCGATTATGTATACAACTATATATAAAAAAATTCCCATTAGCTTAAAAATGTGAATCCAGGACATTTGGTGTTCCGGAAAAGAAGCAAACAATAAGTAACCCCCAAACCAATTCACCTCACTTCCAAACATGCTAAAAAAATCCAGAAGGAAAGCATATACATTAATTTGTCTTAGATATTTGCAAGAATGAGTCACCTACCAGAGCGCCCACAGTCTGAGCATGACACGAGCTCCTCTGGCCGGCCACTTTTTTTGTTCATGTTGGAGCCGCCAAGGCAGAAATCACAGTAGTTATTGGGAATGATGGCCCCATCTGGTCCTTTCTGGGCTGCAGGCAGGTTAGAAATCAAATTTACTTACAGGGCATGCAGTATTGTACAGTTTTTTCTTTCCTCTGCTATGAAATTAATATAATGACTTTGTAGACAACACAAAGCCTTCCCCAAATATTTACCATTAGGTGACAAATGAATTCTGTAAATCCCCTTAATTTTCACTGCACTGTGTAGCCCGGCAGAGGATCTCTTCTTGAGGTCCTGTACAAAGGACAGGTCATCTGTGCTGTGTTCTGATTTCCTTTATAACACTGAGTAGTTGAGTCTCACATTCTTACAAAAATAGTCAGCTTTCACACCATATTGATCTCTTTAAAATATTTTACCTGCTCTTGTTCTGCTATTATAAGTAATTCTTATGAATGTTTTAATAGAAAGGACTTGAAAATGAAAAATAGTCTCTCTTTTTTTCAGTGCATTTATTTTGTGCTTTTCGTTGCACTTTGCCTACAGTAAATTTCACTATTTTCTCTATCCTCTGCTTTCTCTGTCTCATCCTGCATGGGGATCTGCTGACATGGATTCCTGAGCCCAGATGGAATCCCAAATCAATGAGATCTGTGCTAATGGACACAGAGGCAGCATCTGAGCCACAGCTAGCCAGTATCTCCTGTCATTTATCTTACATAGCGCAACATAGGAGAGAAATAAAACAGGTAAAATGTAAACTTACAAAAAACAGCAAAGAGAGCAAAGAGATTGAGGGGTAGGGGTAGTACCTGAAACTGTATTCACACCTTTTAAAAAAAACCTAATGTTTCACATTGATAGTATATATTTAATTAGACTCAATAACAGTAAATAAACAGCATCATAGTCATGTGTCTCTAACTTGTATTAGGGTTATACTACTCTTCTATTAGTGCAGACTATATAAGGCTAATGGCTCTATAAATGTCTACTGTGTTTTTGCCCCCTCCAGTTCTGAAGGACATACACACAACTTACAAAAAGGCCTTTGCATTTTCAATAAAATCCCACCCCTTCAATACAGGTTACATAGGATATGTACAGATGTTTAAACAGTCTGCTGGGAAGACACTCTACAGTGCTTAGCACAAATGTACCATAATTAGAGCACCACTGAACCCAATATGCCTACCGGGTATGGAGGCTTAAAGCCTGCCTGCACCGGCCCTAGCCAGGAGGTGATGGTACTCCCGGCTGCCATCCCTGCAGCTGAGGGGTGGGGGGAACGGAGCCCCAGTCACCTTGCAGACCCAGCCAGGCTCACCCACGTGCCCCTATAACACATGCCAGTTCTGTGGGCAGGGGTGTGCAAGGAATGAATTGTGGCTCTGCCCCAGGCCCTGGACCTGTGCTGTTACCACCCAACGATCCCGGTGTCTCCATAGAGGTTGGCTGGAACCTGTGTGAGCTTGGCATGTGGCCAAGCAGACAGGACGGGGCCACTTAGAGAATTTTGGTGAGCTGCTGTGTGGGATGTAGGGATGCTAATCTGCCCTGCAACAGCTCACCAAAATTCCCTATGTGGCCCATGGACTCAAATAATTGCCCACCCCCGCTCTTCATAATAGCAGCATGCAGCCGCCGGCTCAGCTTTACCCCAGCCACAGGTGGAGCAGGGGGAATGGAGTCCCCCCAGATACCCCTGCTGGGGTTTTGGGAGGAGCTGAACCAGGCCCAGGGGGGCAGGGGGAAAGGCTCTGTTCTTGCCCCTCCTGGCCCCCTGGCTCCAGCCATAGCTGCACGTTGCCACTGTTAAGAGGATGGGGCAGAAGAGTGTGGAGAACAGAGCCTGTCCCACTGAACAGGCCCTTTCTGGATCCCCCCCCACAACACCCCAGCCAGGGTAGAAGGGAGGACTGTGACATGGAGCCTCCCCCCGCCCACCCCACCCACCAGAGCCACTTGACAGCAGCAGCATGTAGCTGCCAGCTTGGCTTTACTGTGGTTGGAACGCAGGTGAGGGGGTGGGGGGGCTCCGTTCCTACCTCTGCTGCATGGACCCAGCCAAGCTCCCCACAGTTGGGGTAGCTCAGGGGGGAGCACATGGCAGAGGGGCTCCCTTCTCCCCCTGCCCAGGTGCACAGGGCAGAGAGAGCTTTTTCTGTTTTTTTCTCTGTGACAGCCCAGGGAGTTGTGTGGCTAGGTTGGTCTGGTCCTCACCTGCAAGCACCAGCCCAGCCCCATAAAGGCCCCTGGGATGTGGACAAAATTGATTGAAATAAACTCTCAATGAGAACCTGTACACAAGTTTGCTAAGGTGCTCTGCCCTAGAGTGCCTTCATCTACACCAAGTGAGGTTTAACTTTTCATAAGATCCACCATTTTTAAAGCACTCTGCAGCCCTGAACGTTTGTTATGTTTGGCTACAGAGCACTTTTGGCAGCCTCATTGCATGAAAAGTGCATCTTCTGTACACACCCATAGATACGTCTGAGGCATACTACAACAGAAGCCCAGATATAGTGGAATTACAGCTGAAATTAATTTGACCCATTATGTAGTTTACTGCTTTGTTCAATAATGCAGAATAGATAGTAACATTGACAGATGCCTTGTCCAAACAGTTGTTCTACATGGGTAAAAGTCCTTGCCATTCTCATATACAGGGAACAGAGTTAACATTTTTCTTTTATCCTTTTTACTGAAAGGTAAAAGATCACCAGCTCTAGTGGGTATCCCACAGTCTGAGTGTTCCCCATGTTAGATGGAATACTTGTTCAAATGGAAGAGTGAGAACGTTTAAATAACACCCACTGGACTTAGTCATTACTGTAAGATAATTTTTGTAGCTTTAAACTTTGTTAAAAGTTGTTCTGAGGCTTTTTACAAATGGCTCCAAGAAGAATTTTGGTCCATATCCAAACATTCACAAAGAACAGGGACATTAAGGTGGATGTTTTGGTACAAGACCAAGAAATATTGTTCAGTCAGAACTTCCACAACGACTGAAGGACTTGAATCTTGTGTTCTAATTTGTGCCTACCTTTAGTTTTTTTATGTTTAAGAGCGTTGGAGACGCCGTGGAAATAGGGAGAAATGAAAATTCATATTGCTGCAGACACATCCTTCTCCTTTACCATCAGCAGCCTTGCACATTTATTGCATGCTTAGCGTCTAATCTGGTATCCCAGAATTATTGGTGTTCTCAATACATTCTCTCTCTCTCTCTCTCTCTCTCTCTCTCTCTCTCACTCACTGTTAATTTAGCACTGTGCCTGACAGTGGAGAGTGTTTAATATTTGCTTACCAAGTAATTGGAGAGGTATGGGAATTACGTAAAAGTACGGTGAGCTGTAGTGCAACAAAATGACTGAAAAAGTAACTTTACACTTTTTCTTCCCCTCTCTAAAATGTAGACTGGTCTAGAATTTCCTTATCCACTCTCTACTGAAAACACCAGGTGGTTGCTTCTTTGCATTATACTGCATGTATATCCCAGTCTCACACAGTGCAAACTCAGCAAGTACAGTGCTGAAGGTTTCACATTATCACTAACACACTTGGAAGTTAAAATTTTCAGGATTGATGTAAAAGCCTAAGTCCCACTGACATTCACTTCTGAAAATGGGGCTCAAGCCTTCTTGTAAATGTTACCTATGTACACTGATCCATGATAGATGGAAGCTTATGATTGGTTGTGGGGAAACTGTTAACCTGGATCTTGTTTCCCTATCTTTATTTTTGATGCAAGTCTGCGTGCTAGTATTTTGCTTGTTCATGGCTAAGCTGACTGTCATAGACAAGTCAAATTTGATAGGCTGTGGGTATGTCTGCACATCACCCTATGGCAATGTTGCTACAGCACTATGCTTTAGTACTTCCTTTTGGCACTATGGGTGGTTACTGTGCCGTGCACACAGCACACGGGTAGCTTTCACTGCTATGTCGCCATAGTGGTCCGCCATACCCAGGAAGCACACTGCTATGGCTACATAGCTGGCAATCACATGTAGACATACATGATCACTATGTCACTGTAGCATGGCATATGTTGCTGTAGCACATCACTACATCACCATAGGGCAACGTGTAGACATGCCCTGTATGCAGAGGTGAATCTTAAAGTTTCATCAGTGTGTCATGAATGATACATCTTTATAGCCTAATAAACCAATGCAAGATACAGTATTCTCTTTACAACTTTCTGCTCTAACAGGTAGAAAAGTTCACTCAAGCACGATTGCCAAATATTATATAACTAGTTGCCTTAATCCAAATGTATGCTGTATGTGCAATAAGGTTGTGTAAAAAAAGTCTTGGAAATAAGGTTTAGGATAGCTTTACTGTCCTGGTGATAGTGAAAAAGATTGCTTGGTTTTAAAGGCTTTGGGATACTGACTGATGCAGTTTGTGTACTTTTCATACCAACAAATAAACACAGGATTTTTATATTTTAAAGAAAGATAATGATGTGTAGGAGGAATGAGGGGGAATTCAAGGAACAAAACAACACAACACTTGTAGTGACAAGGACAAAATAAACAAAGGACCAAGGGCTCAATTCTGTACTACAGCATAATCACACTGAAATCACAGAATGAGTCCCTATCATTGCTCCTCTAGCCCCAGTTATCATTTCAAAGCAAAGCACTGAAAAACAGCCATGATCAAGACCTAGCTCATACATTATTCTCCCAGTTTTTGTTTCATTGCAAACAGCAAACTTGGACCAAGCTTGCCAGTGTTCACAAACATGAACATGGTGACCAGAGTGGCTCATATTTCCAGGTCTGCATTATGGGCACAATTCACTACAGTGCTTCTCTGACAGAACATTAATTTTAGCAATATAAGTTCATGTACACATTTCCTCTAAGATAGCAGAGTCCTTGATTTCTGCTGCCACTGTTAACAGCACATCTCCATGCAAAAAAATATATGACAGCAGGCAGAAGGTATGCGCAGCAACTCCCCACATTGCTGCTGTCTTCCAACAGCAATCCCGCACTTCCTCACACAGACCACTGGACACCAGCCCAAACGCCTCTGGCCAAAATTCAAGTTGATCTGAAGCCCAGTGCCC